CCCCTCCCCCTCCCGCTCCCCCTCCCCCAAACTGGCCATTCAATTCCATCCAATTCCATCATCCATTTATCCATTCGTTTCACTTTTAATAAAGAATGTGGTTGTTATCATGGTAAGGTAGGGTTGAATTCTCAAAATTCCAAGCTGAACCATTCTCACCTTTTTCAGAAGGCTTGAGGTTTGCCAAGGCTACAATCTTGTGTCCAAGTTGGACACATTGCATCATGTTATAGCAGCTGTCCTTCCCTCCACTGTAAATAAAAGTATCATACATTACGTCATTGTGGCCTCTTGGCAGGGGTAGCATTGGTACCATTTGCGTTGGTGCCATTTAATATGGATTATTAGAATTCAAACAAAGAACCTTATTCTTTGGGGAATGGCATGTGTCTCATTCAAAAAGTATTATTTCTCTCTTCTTCATTGTTATGATAATTAGATATGGGGGATAAACACAATGGATTGTATGTAAATGCGAGGCAAAGTGTCATGTTGGTTGAAGGCTAGAAGAACATACACAGTTGTGCTCTTGACCGATTATTTGCAAGGAGTGGTAGATAATTCATGCAAGGGGTATTTAAGTCAGCCGTGGACCAATCGGTAGACAGGAATTATCATAACAATAGATTGCATTGATAATATATGTCTATAATAAATACTTTTTGTTGCATACAATAATGAAGCATCGTTTTAAATATGACAAAAATCGAAAATGATCCCAGTGAATTCACTTCGTGGCTGAGTGGTTAGGGTTAGGAATAGGCATTGCAGGGCTGTCAACCCCCGAGATATTCAAATCTGGAGAATTGATAGGGAAGGGACATGACGTCACAGCGCGTCAAAAAGCGCGCGAAAAGACGCCTTTCGGTAACATTTGATGTGATTGGTTTATTTCTGACCAATCAGATTATCGCTTACATTACAATGGCCTGCTTGCAAGAACAGCCATGAGGAACGTTTTGATTTTGTTAGCGATGTAAAATAACACAAATAACGTAAGATAATTGGAATTTTATGGTTGTGAAACTCGGGTCTCACAAGAAAAAATGGTCAGCTTCGGGGATTATCCGGGAGATTTGAGACTCTAATCTGGAGACCGGGAGATACGGCCCAAAATCTGGAGACTCCCGGTTTATCCGGGAGAGTTGACAGCCCTGCATTGTAATATCATTTGGTGCCAAGGGTGCCGGGTTCGAATCTTGCCTGCCATTGAATTTTTTTACAAGTGAGAAGAACCAAAATCCTCAAGGTCTAAAACCGATTATCAAGCGAGCCAACCGGGATAGTGTACACTAGGAACAATACCTTATTAATGCAACAACCCTCATTTTGACTAGTTTGATTGCCTCGTTTAACGAGCTTTAAATCTTTTCATCTTCACCCACGTGCACCATTTTTAATGTTTTGGGATTCTCTAGCACCAGTCTACTTCGGTCCTACCATAGCATAGGTAACCCAAAATACCCACTTGTGCACATGCGCACTGTTCCCGCCATTTTTGAAAAGACTTTTAACGAAGGTCCACAAAAAATCGAAAAGTTCTTTTATTTATCTGCTGTAATTATTTTAGTTTTATTATTAGAAAATGAGTCTGAAGAGAGGAGCAGAGGATGGAAAGAATGGTTTGGCCATAACGGAAGCAGAAGCCGAGCTTTATGACCGACAAATTCGACTGTGGGGTCTTGATGCTCAAAAGAGGTGAATATAAGTTTACTGTCAGATAAAAAACTTATGGCATTGAGCCTTTTCTTTTAGCATTTGATTGATTATTGACCAGTTAATGACTTGTTTTGATTGAAAGGTTTATAGAATTTCCCTCTTCCTTGGAAACAATGTTTGTGGGATGGTGGTTTCTCATAAAAATCTCCAAACATTTATTGACAGCGTTTCAGGAAGTTCGACACACCAAAAGTATTCTATCACTCAGAGAGGAGAGGGGTGAAAGTCATGCATTTTGGGTAGTACACAACAAGACCTACATATACTGAGGGAGAGGGGCAGGGGAGGGCCTTACCCCCGCAAAAATTAGAGCAAAAAATTAAAATTTAACAATTGATGGGTCAAAAGACAAAAACATGGCGGCCATTTTGATGCCAATAAAAAATCTTTTGCTAATTGGCAGCAGCAGTCCCCCAAGAGGTTGCAATAAAGTATTGTGAAATCAAAGAATATAAGGCATGATTAAGAAAACATGTTTATACTGAAGTTAGACCACAATGCACCATGTTTACTCCCTGAAAACCACCATCCCCCTCCCCCATTTTGACTTAAAAGACAAACAGACCCTCATAGAGAAGATATTTTATAGCATCATCCAATACTAATTGCTTCATCATACATTGTACACTATCATTTAAGAATAAAGATTTAGCCTAATTCCTAAACAAAAGCAAGCCGTACTTCAATCTCCATTGTGTCCTTGAGTAAACTTGGCACAGGGTCTGGATGGGGGGTCTGGATCCCCAATTACTTTTCATGTTTTTCCTGAAATCAGAAAGCAAAATCCCACATCCCTGGCATTGAATTCAGCATTTCACGAGTCATGGCCAATGCCAATATCCCAAATGATGTAAGAATGTTTCCTAGTTTCCTGGATCCTGCACTATATTTTATCCATTTTCCGGCTCCTGCGAATACCCTTCAAGACCCTGTTGACATGATAATTGTAATATCTGCAGAAAAACTTACCGATAATATGTGTAACATAGGATATCATGGACTAGCTGGTCGTTTTCTGCCAATCAAATACAATATATGATGTAAAATGTAAACTTTCTCATTTTTAATTGCATTATTGCTATTCAGACTGAGAGCATCATGTATTCTTGTTATTGGATTGAATGGTGTTGGTGCAGAGATTTGTAAAAACCTTGTGTTATCAGGCATCAAGTCTCTGACCATGCTTGACCATCATCCTGTGACAGAAGAAGACTTTCTCAGTCAGTTTCTTATACCAAAAGAGGATCTTGGAAAAAATGTAAGTTTTGATTTTTTCAAAGACAGAACCAGAAATCTGTTAATTAGGGGGGGGGGGAGGGCATTAAAAATTGGATTTTAGAAAATGAATCTCAAGACGACTATGCAAAAGACATTCTTAAAAAGAAGGCTGTGGCCCTTCCCCCTCCCCCTAAATCTGCCCCTTAATTTGTTAGTTTGAGGGACACAGGTGAGTAGAGTTGGTTGGGTTTCTTACTTGATTCAAGGGGTTTCTCCATGTTCTTTATTCCCCTCCACAAAACCTAGCACTAAATTCCTATTGGATTTGTGACTTACCTGTACCTTGGTAATCGGCCCAGAAATTATTGTGACATTACCAAAATTTGCATTTAATACCGCTAGACAGTCTGTGTTTTAAAAAAAAGGTGCATTCCAAGATCAAGTAGTCTGTGGGCTAGACAGCGAAATCCTGTCCCCCTTGTTATTTTTAAAATAGCTGTTGTATAGTCTTTACTTAATGAATTCCCATTCTCTTAGAGAGCAGAGGCTTCTTTACAAAGAGCAAAGGATCTTAATCCTATGGTCCAAGTTACTGCAGATTGTGATGACATCACAAGCAAACCAGATACCTTCTTTAAGGACTTTGACGTTGTCATAACAACAGGATGTTCTTTAGAAACTCTTGTAAGTCTTTTCTTAAAAAGAAATATACTATATAAGTCATTATTTAAAAGTAAACTTAAAAAAATAAGGCATTGCTATAAAATTGTTGACAGACAATGCAAAATTGCATGTAAAAAGGAAGAAATGATGACACAACCATTTTTGCTTCTCAGTTGCTTGGTGATTGAACTTATTCTCGTAGTGCAATGTTTTTGCATTACAGATTCTAAAGACGTTATTTTCACATGTGAAAATATCAGTTTTTCGAAAAGGAGAAATATAGGTATTTCATGGATAATTATAGGATAATAGACCTTATTTGTTGTTGTGCAATGTTTTTTTACAATACAGACTAGTAAAAAATCCCACACAAGACCAGAAAAGATATTATTTGACATATTTTATCAATGATTTTGTTCTACAGTCAAAGATAAATGAGATATGCCATGTCAATAAGGTCAAGTTTTATGCAGCTGATGTTTTTGGCTTTTATGGTTACATGTTTGCTGATTTAGGGTGTCACAGATATGTTGAGTGAGTATGGTGACTACATTACATTTTTTCAATGTCATAATAAAGTTGTAAGAGTACGTACAAGCAATGCAAGGATTTTGTTATATGCACTAAGATTTTTCATTCCAGGTACTTTGACCCAAATAACTGCTTGTGTTTGGATCACTAGCCTAGAATGGGGGGGGGAATGGGGGGAAAGTGCCACCCCTTCCAAATAAAAGTTTGCTCTTGGCACCAAAGTTTCATTCATGTGGGATTCCTGTGGACTTGGCTTGGAAAATGGTATATTGCCCACCCCCTATAATCAAGACCTCACTACACCCCTGGTTTGGATCCCACTCGTCATATTTTTGGTGCCAATCAAGAGGCTTTGCACAATCATGTGATGGCATTCATGTCAGGAAGCACAACAACAGTATTTTTCCCCATGGAAAACTGAATTCTTTCTCATGTAAACCAGATTAAACCAAATTTAATTGTTCCTGCCACCTATTACGGCTGCCACATGATGGTGCAGGCCTCTATGTTTAGAAGAAGGCATTTTGCATAGAAATACATGATTTCTGGATTTACATGATTCCTAATACAGTATATGATAATGCGCCGCCTCTCACCAATGCGGCCCGAGTTTGAGTCCTGCTGATCTCGATGTCGTATGTGAGTAGAGTTGTTTGTTGGTTCTCTCCTGTGCTTCGAGGGTTTTTCTCCGGGTTCTCCGGTTTTCCTCCCTCCTCAAAAATCAACTCCTAAATTCTAATTCGATCTTTAGGCTTTCACTACCTCTGTTGTGATTGTCCCACGCTGTGATACAACAGCAAAAAGCTCTTTAGATTTTTTTAATAGATTTTTTAGATTAGAGGAGGCTTATTGTGTATTTTGTTTTTGTTACTTTTTATTCCAGTATATTCCTCACTTTACTGTTAAAGTTCATGTATTTTTCAGGGAACAAAAGAAAACCATCAAAGCTAGTGAGCCTAAAAGGAAGAAACCAAACAAAGAAGATACTGAAACTGTGTTAGTTGAAAAGGTATGTAGAAACATGTATAACACCAGCAAAAATGTCATAGTGCCAACAAAATCCCCTCAAGATGTTTAAATAATGTGGATGAAATGGTGATATATGGATTGACCAGAAGTATTGAGAACTTGAATGCCTGGTATTATTATAAGTAGTGTAAATATAAACAAGAGAAGAGTAGGAAATGACAATGCCAAGTGGAGTGGTTTCCAGATTGTCAAGTACGTGTGGGCATGTTTCCACATCCCAAGTGTTTTGATCAGATTATGCAAACATGGAAAACAGCTTTATATACAGTCTTCATTTATAAAATATGGAGCACACAAATGGAGGAAAAATATGTTTAATTTTTGAACGTTTGAAATCTGATCATGAGTGGAAAAAATGATGTGTGTATTTATCAAACAGGGTTTTTTTGATGGGTCAGAGCTGACATTACATCTAAATTATATTATAAACTTTCATTATGATCATATTCCATTTTAGTTTGCAGAATTCTATAGATTTAAAGATGCTCTTTGTTGTAAGCTTGATGAATCAACACCACCAAAAACCCTGAAGAGAATATCATCAGTATATTTTATATTGCAAGGTGAGTTTTCAATTTCTTCTGACAGACAGACAAAGGAACAATAGCTTTCCCCTCACAGTTCCCATCTTAAAAGTTAATAGTACCTGCTCATGGAAGCAAGAATGGTAGTGACCTTGCAATGATAGACACAAGTTTTTTAATAACACCTTGTACAATTATTCATGTCTCTATCATCTCAAGGTCACTGTCTGCGCTTCAATGTACAATTAGGTTCACTTTTAAAGATGGTGCAGGGAACTGTGAAGGCAACTATTGGTCAATAATCAGCAATGATTAGCTGAGTGTCAATTGACAGGTTTTAGCTTAGTGGGCATAAAACAAGCAGTTAACCTGCGATTGTCATTTTTTCATTCAATTTTTACTTTTCCTTATGCAAATACCACCATTTCCCTTTCACAAATTCCAATAGTTTTATATGTTCCCCTTTATTTATTTATTTTCTTATTTATTTACTTTATTTATTTATCTATTTATTTATTCATTTATTTGATGTATTGCAGTGATGGGTATCCCCCTTTGCAGAACCCCCCTCCCCCCAGTAGATGTACATGTAGATAGCAAAATAAGAATCATCCAGTCAGCTTGAAATCGTCAATAAGGTAACCCCTTATGATGCATTCAATGAATACAATGTTTTCTCTGTGTAGTGTTGTTCAGATTTATGAAAATACATGGAAGAGAACCCAAAGTTCAGTCATTAGATCAAGATACCAAGGAACTACAAAGATTAAGAGATGTAGTGATGGAAGAACTCAAGCTCGACAAAACATTGATAGATGAACATTTTTCAAGGTGGGTAAAACTTGAGTTAGGAAGCTGGCAGTCTTGTAAATAGAAAAAGAGCAGTATGCCTTATTTTGAGTGCACAGCCAGCAAAACAAGAGGTCTAAATTTCAGTTCCTAATAACCTCAGACACTTGTTTTTGTCTTGTCTGTAAGCTGTGTAGCTCCACAAAAGTTCAATTTTTACTCTTGACCCCAATAAAAAACCTACCTTACTTAAAGAACAAAAAATGTAAAACAATGTGATAATAAAATAAAATGTTGGAAGTTCAGTTAGAGGAAGACAATGATACGTACCCTTTGGATTTACTATACACAATATAGAAAACAATTATTGAGAAAATGAAAATAGATTATTCAATAATGAGTGAACAAATGTATGGATGAGAATGCATGCAATAATTGTAAATAGTTTCAATTGCAGACATTGCACAGCATCTTTGAGTCCAGTTTGTGCTATTGTTGGTGGAGTCGTTGGACAGGAAGTTGTAAAGGTAAATTTTATTCTTCTACAAATAATAATTAGGTAATGACTTTATGGCGTCATCATATGCAGCTGAATACAATTCAGCATAGCAAGTTGTATGGAAAAATGTGTTTGCTTGATAAATCTGCTTCTTGGTAAGTACAGGTAGTGGGCACTACTATTTTACAGTGCTTCTCATGATCAATAGTAGTCACAATGAAAGACCTTGAATGGTGGACATCAATCAAGTTGTGTCCATGACATTATATATATCTGACTAACATGTTTGTTGTTCCATGGGCCTTTGCCCTTGCCAATTTTGTTTTCCAACAATTTTATGAAAACATTGGTGTCCACCAAAATCCTATTTTGTCAAGGTGGCAAAATGTTTGATTCCACATGTGCTATTGAGTAACGAAAGTAAAATACTGTAGGTTGTCTTTTAATTGAGGGCAGGGTCCTAGGCTGCTTTCATTTTAATTACAGTATTTTGTCATTTAAACAGATATTTGCACAATATTTTTGCCATTGCAATATATATTTTTGCCATGTTTTTGAGACTTGTTTTCAAATTATGTACAGGCTGTATCTGGCAGGGATAGCCCATTGAACAACTTCTTTTTCTATGACGGATTAGAAGGCCATGGTATGGTGGAGTGCTTCAAGTAAATCAACCCTAGTAACCTGGTGACTTACTATGGGTCCAACCCAACTGTGGCAGCACATCAAAAATTGATGTTGCTACCATGCCCACACTTTTACTTTAAGCATGAGGTTCGCCGTTCGATTAAATAATTGCTGATAGAAGCATGGTCATGGAGACATACCAATTCAAAGTCAAATGCCAAGACAAATGTGTAAAACTGTTTTTGCCTGCTGAAGAGGTCGAAAGCCTAAGTTTAGGGTCTTGTCTTGAATGAATCTCTAACAGGATTGTGAGTCTTCTTGGGAAAGAAGTGATCATGCAATATCTTGATGTCATATCTACCCTATCAATGAAATTTACCAATATGGGCATGACAGCAGACAAATATGGGCATGTTAGCGACACAAAACTTTGATGCACTGCCAGTGGGACCGTAGTACTGTAAAAAAATCTTCTAATGTTTATATTCCTTTGACAATCTAATTAATGAGGTTAGTCTAAGATAAAACTTATAGAGTCTGTTTTCAAAAACAATAGGAATTGGTAGAACAGATTTGGCATTAAAAAGGAGCAAGAGGCAGATTTAGGAAGTTTCAAGAGAGGAGTCCAACTATCTTAATTAAAAAGTCTTGGATTGGGCTACCTGTGATCTATATTCTTTCTTAAACAATTCCTTACAAAAGTTGGAGCCTAATTCAACTGTCAGCTAATTCCTACCCGAAATCTTTCCTTAAATTCATTACAATAAATTATTGCTAGTACTATTATTTTTTATTAGTTTGGTTTCTGTTATTTATAAACATTTGGTAATTTCCATATACCTCTCCACTAAATTTTGTTTCCTACAGATTCACAATTTTTTTTGTTATATAAAATTATATATACATGTATCGTTTTCATTCTTTTAACTATATTTGTAATTGAATACTACTAATAAAAAAATTTCAAGAATTCTTGTACAAAATTGGGGGTAGCAGTAACATGTAATTTTGTGCCAATTCCACAGATGGGTGGATTTCGTATAGTTCCTATCAATGTTAAGCCACAAGGTTTGATGTCAGACTCAGGGGAATTTTGAAGGAATTACCTTTAGCTAAAATATTCAAGAGTGGACTTTGCTTTTTCCATTTCATGCAAAAAAGAATAAAACTGAGGCAAAGTCATTTCCATAAACAAATCCTCGTGGTGAGTGCCTCGATCTATCACAAGCTTCAACTGAAGAAAGGTTTGACCAACAACCTTTAAGTCATTACTACCTGATGTTACTCCAAACTTCCACTCCATGTCTACAAGCTGATTGACCATAAATGTCTGCCCTACCACTGATCGAGAAAGAGCAATGAGGTTTTTCTTCCATTTTTCCTCAACCAGGGAAGTCTTTTCTGCTGAGAGCCCTATAAGAGGTAATTAACACAGTTTTAACCAATCAGAGCTCACATTACCAGGTGACAATATAGTAATACAAAAATACATATGGGGGGAGTGGACCTACGTTGCATGCAACATTATTTAAAATGAGTTTAAAACATCATTAAAATATTGAATAAAAGTTTAAAAATAAGGCAAATAATACGCCTTGCCACTCTCGTAAATTATACTTCTCGATGTCTAGAACCAATATTTACATGTCGTGACTGTATATTTGTGTATTAGCCACAGTATCCTATTTCAAAGCATTGATAAAATGTTCATTACCCATATTTTCTAAATCTTCTTTAATCTGTGCAGGCGTTAGGTTCCTTTTTAAAGCACTTTTAAAGAAAGAAAGCAAACTTTTCATGACATGTTTCAAAGCTCCAGCACCAACTCCATGTCCTCCAGCGAACTCGGACACTCGATTTATGAAGCGATCACCATCCTTTGGAGAGGTAAGAAATGCGAATACGATGTCTAAGAGCTCGATAAATGCCTCTTCTTCAAATCTGTCTAGTGATTTTACATCTGCAATGATTTGATCGTCTACAGGCTGTTTAGAAAAATGGAAGGAAGACATTTTTGGGTAAGTACTTCATGTATGCCTGATTATAATGTCCTGGCGGTGTGCTTTATGTTATCGTGCATGATGACGCTCTCTCACTGTATCCTAGTGTATCCACTGTATCCACTGTATTCTCTGTATCCTAGTGTATAGTGTATCCAGTGTATCCTAGTGTATTCACTGCATCCTAGTGTATTCACTGCATCCTAGTGTATTCACTGCATCCTAGTGTATTCACTGCATCCACTGTATCCAGTGTATCCTAGTGTATTCAGTGTATCCTAGTGTATCCACTGTATCCACTGTATTCTCTGTATCCTAGTGTATCCAGTGTATCCTAGTGTATTCAGTGTATCCACTGAATCCAGTGTATCTTAGTGTATCCAGTGTATCCTAGTGTATTCACTGGATCCTAGTGTATCCACTGTATCCACTGTATCCTAGTGTATCCTAGTGTATCTTAGTGTATCCTAGTGTATCCACTGTATCCACTGTATCCAGTGTAACCTACTGTATCCTAGTGTATCCAATGTATCCAGTGTATCCTAATGTATCCTAGTGTATCCACTGTATCCAGTGTATCCACTGTATCCTAGTGTATCCAGTGTATCCTAGTGTATCCAGTGTATCCAGTGTATCCACTGTATCCACTGTATCCACTGTATCCTAGTGTATTCAGTGTATCTTAGTGTATTCAGTGTATCCACTGTATCCAGTGTATCCAATGTATCCTAGTGTATTCAGTGTATCCACTGTATCCACTGTATCCATTGTATCTTAGTGTATCCTAGTGTATCTTAGTGTATCCTAGTGTATTCACTGCATCCTAGTGTATTCACTGCATCCTAGTGTATTCACTGCATCCACTGTATCCATTGTATCCTAGTGTATCTAGTGTATCCTAGTGTATCCAGTGTATCCACTGTATCCTAGTGTATCCTAGTGTATCTTAGTGTATCCACTGTATCCTAGTGTATCCACTGTATCCTAGTGTATCCTAGTGTATCCACTGTATCCATTGTATCCTAGTGTATCTAGTGTATCCTAGTGTATTCACTGCATCCTAGTGTATCCACTGTATCCAGTGTATTCACTGCATCCTAGTGTATCCACTGTATCCACTGTATCCTAGTGTATCCTAGTGTATCCACTGTATCCACTGTATCCACTGTATCCTAGTGTATCCAGTGTATCCTAGTGTATTCAGTGTATCCACTGTATCCACTGGATCCTAGTGTATCCTAGTGTATCCAGTGTATCCACTGTATTCTCTGTATCCTAGTGTATCCAGTGTATCCTAGTGTATTCACTGCATCCTAGTGTATCCACTGGATCCTAGTGTATTCAGTGTATCCACTGTATCCAGTGTATCCACTGTATCCTAGTGTATCCAGTGTATCCTAGTGTATCCACTGTATTCTCTGTATCCTAGTGTATCCAGTGTATCCTAGTGTATTCAGTGTATCTTAGTGTATCCTAGTGTATTCACTGCATCCTAGTGTATTCACTGCATCCACTGTATCCAGTGTATCCTAGTGTATTCAGTGTATCCATTGTATCTTAGTGTATCCTAGTGTATCTTAGTGTATCCTAGTGTATTCACTGCATCCTAGTGTATCCACTGCATCCACTGTATCCAGTGTATCCTAGTGTATCCACTGTTTCCACTGTATCCAGTGTAACCTACTGTATCCTAGTGTATCCAAGTGTATCCAGTGTATCCAGTGTATCCTAGTGTATTCAGCGTATCCACTGAATCCAGTGTATCTTAGTGTATCCAGTGTATCCTAGTGTATTCACTGTATTCACTGTATCCACTGTATCCACTGTATCCACTGTATCCACTGTATCCTAGTGTATTCTAGTGTATCTTAGTGTATCCTAGTGTATCCAGTGTATCCACTGTTTCCACCATATCCAGTGTAACCTACTGTATCCTAGTGTATCCAATGTATCCAGTGTATCCTAATGTATCCTAGTGTATCCTAGTGTATCCACTGTATCCTAGTGTATCCCAGGGGCCGCATAGGGGAGAGAGGGGCATATATGTTGCTTTTATTTGCTGTCATTCCGATTATTGCTTGATAAATTAAGTCAGATCTGTACACATCCCGCCATACCATTTCCAAACATTTATGAAGGAACCGAAGCAATTGAGTGTACTCAGCTATGTTAAATATTATGTAGTTTTATTATCATTTTAAGTCTTACATGTTCGGTATCTGCTGAAATTCGTAACTAGATTTAGAATCATAATAATTTGTCTTATCAACCATAGATTTAATAAATATGTTCCGTGCTTTCAGCCTACTCGGCCATCCTCAGGGAATTGAAAAACGTTACAATTGACAAAGAAAAACGCGATCAAACATGGCATATGTGCGCGCGCATTATTCAAATTCGCGCGTGCTCAGGAATAAAAATTTTTTTTAGATTAATTCATTAATTAAAAATAAATAAATAAATAATAAATAAATTTAAAATAATAATAATAATAAATAAATGAATTATAACAAAAATAAGCTCGGAACATATTTATTAAATATATGGTTGATAAGACAAATTATTATGAATGTAACAACAACCAACAAGGAACTATTTGATTTAGATTTAGGATCTCAAGCATGTTAAGGCTTGGTATTTTATAGGCTTGGTATTTTATAGGCTTGGTATTTTATTTTGCTATTTTTTTAAGGCTTGGTTTTTTACCGGTTTGTTGAAGAAATACATTTTATGTAATAGCTTAAGCTTTTGAAATTGAGTATTTGACCTTATCGATATTCCAGTTTCTTGATATTTTAAGCATGGTCTTTTTGACTTCCGGTGGTCACGTGACCTTAAGGGCAGCAATAGCGCAGCGCAGCCGTGACGTCATAAAAACAAAGACAAAGGCGAAATTCGGACAAACAAACTTACAAGTTTACTTTCAGCAGATAATTTTCACAGCCGATCGCAGTTGATCTTAGTTTACATGGGTTATTATTGTAACTTTAAGTAAAAATAATAGAATCGGTTCGTATAATCTTCGTAGCGGTTAAACAGAATGCAATGTTTGTCCGAATCTTTAAGCTATTTTTAGAATCAGCGCGCTGCGCTATTCCAAGTCACATAAAAACCGCCAGCCCATTTTGAAATTTCTATTTCTCACGCCTTGGGGTCACATGACCACCGGAAGTCAACATGACAAAAAACCCAATTATGTTTTTAGCCCCAAAACTCAATTTCATAGATTTAAGATTGATAGAGTTATTGCACAAACTTAGTATTTGAGCGATCCATTAAAATATCAAGCCTTAACATGCATAATTATATTTCTTTATGTTCTCGTAAGACATCCAATGATTAACCTTACTTAATTTCATAACATAACAAAATTGGCCAAACGCTCTCTCTGCAAGATCTCAGCTAGGTTTGGAAGAATCGTTTGTGTGCATAATTTTAGATGTTAAATGAAGCTTATAAACAAATCTGTATTTACCCCTGTCTATCACAATATATATTTGATTTGCATCAACGGAAGCACGAAAGAAATCGATATTTAAGGTTTTCAATCATTCCCAAGAGAAAAATATAACAATAGACACGGCTGCCAAGTTGGAGGATACAACAAAGGAGACTAGATAGACATAAATTATTCCCATTATAGTTTGGACTAAAGAAAACTGTTCGATTTTTTTTTTTTTTTTTTTTTTTTTTTTTCAAGCGATTCAATCTGCTTTGCTTTGTTTCACTTTGCGTGACAAACTTCGTCAGAACAAATCGCACAAGGAGTTCTAAGCCTCCAACTGAATATGGTTGTCTGCACACAATCAGATTGTGAAAAAATAACAAGAAGTCGTAAAAAAACTAAATTTTTATGGCGCAAACGTCGCAGTTTCGGAGGAAATGGCATATAATACTTTGCTATTTCCCATCCAACTTTGTGACAGATATTCCAGCTACCAAGGATTACATTTCGTCACTAGCTATACATCATACTAGATATTAATATACGTACATAACTACTTATTTTGTAACAGTTCACTAATGTCTTGAACGCTTTGGATATGGAGAAGTTTCCCGTTTATCTGCGATGCTGTTTTCATTGCCATGTGCATCTTGTTGTCTTTGGCGTTGGCATATTTAGCAACATAATTGTAAAGGGATGCCAAGCTTTTTGGTTTCGCCGTGATGGAAGTAGTAGATATCAATGACACGCTTTCTATTAGAACGTATGTTTCGAACCGTGTCCAACTGCCAGAATGCACACCGAGGCTCTCTTCATTTAAAAACTGCATTCCCTTACGCCGCTTGTATGGTGAGGGATTCTCTCTGCACCGCCTTTTCTTCGAGGGGGTTTCTTCTTTCTCCTTATCTGACTTACCATTGCAGCAGTTGTAGCATTCGCAGGTGGCGCTGCATTTAACCCCATACTTTAGGCATTTGCACTTTGATTTCCTTTCCCCATCTTTACATGCTTCGTATGCTGGATCTTTATTCTTTTTGCTTCTTCCACAAGAACAAGCGAAGGAGACATCATTAAGACGTTTCACTTCCTCTTGGGTTTGCCTTACAGCATTCGACTCCATGACGTTGTTACACTTTCTGCATCTGCAAAGTCTGCTGCACATCTTTCCTCTGCGGACACAGGGACATCTGGTCTTGTCGCTTACATCACATGCTGATCCATCAATCGATGACTTATTTTTACCACAAGAACATCCCTTCTCTATCTCCTTACTTCCTTCACAGTGCTCTAAAATACGTACGTACAAATTAGAGTTACATATATGAGTCATTTCATTTAATAAATATTTCATCGAGGCTTTCCACTCACCCCAACCACACCACCACTACCACCACCACTAGTGTAACAATTAGTTATATCAAGAGAATATGAACTTAGAGAGAACATCTCCCATATATAGCTCTCCTCCCATGAACGTATCTATCAATTCTATTTAGTTTTAGCTCCGCGCGCTGTCTTTAGCAGTGCACAAATTTCTTTTTTTTCTTTCCCTCGTACGCGCACGTTGGACAATTTGACCAATCAGGAACCGTGAGCTATATAGGGCGCGGAGCTAAAAATAAACTTGATAGACACTTTCACAGGGCAAAGAGATGAGCTCTCTTAGTTCATACTCCCTTGGATATACGAATATTTGTACATCCTACATTTTCATTGAATTTCACATAAATAATGTTGGTAAAGGTTCACTTACTTAAAGCTTTCGTAGCGTCGTAATGCCCAGGTCCTGAATGTGTGAATGCAATATATATAGGGCAATCACAGCATAACCTAGGTGGGATAAATGGGATACATGGTGCACCGTCTATGGAGGTGATTACTACGATGGCCAAGTTTAAGACTTCAGCACACACTTTTACCACGAGATCTCCAACCTGGTAATTATAAGTACCTGCTCGTTTGAAAAGTTCAGCTTCGGCCAGCAGCTCGTTTTCTTCCATGCCAAGTACCTGGGCGTAGTAATTTGCTGATTCACATAAGTGATCCACAAATAGCTGGCGGAGTGGGTTAACATTTTCGGCTACAGATTGTGTATTTAGCCCTAACACTTCCAGATGTAACAACAAGCGGTCTCTTACTTCCCCCTCCGTACGTAGACTTAAATCGATTACTTGCTTCATTATACTCGTGAATGCGCAGTCTCCATCACCATCAACATCATCTACCTCCAATCCTAACCCTGAAAGGTTTCTGGCGAGTTGATTTGTAGTAGTAGTCTCTTCTATGGAACTACCGTCATTGTTGAAATGGTCAATTACGTTTTGTAATCCTTTTAGCTGAAGAATAGGAAAATCCAAGATATTGAATGAGCGGTTATTGCATTCCTTGTTAATGCGATCCAGTATACTGTGCATTGTTTCAACATGGTTTAAAATAGTCTCCGCTATAACTTCATTACAAAGATTTTGAATGTGGTCCGCAACCAGAAGAACTGAAGAATCCTTACTACACTCTTTCCCATCTGTTGTCGTACAACCCTTTTCTTTTCTTGAATTATCCTCTTGCAAAACCTTCTTCGTTAAACTTTTCTTGTGCTCCAAACCATAGTTTTTTGTTATCACGCCCTCGATGGGCATGTAAATGTTAGTTCTTGCGTTTCTTTCATGCTTACGTTCTTTCTTTTTGCTATTTAGACTGTAAAATAATATTGTTAATACTGCTATTGCGAGTTCAGGACCAATGGTCGTTGATCCACATAGCAGACACCTGTTAATGAAATGGTGAAGAACTTCATTGCCTTCTGTTCCTTCTCCTGGATTTATGCCAGACAGACACCCTTTTCGTATATGAACCTTAAGTTTATCGATTTCATTTCTCGTTTCTGTGTACTCTTTGCTCAATAATATTTCACTCCATGCCCATTCAAAATGGTCTAGGTTTTCCTCTATTTGTTCAGGGTCGGGTGTTGGAAGGTTGCGAACATTTCCTAAGTCACCGTTGGCTCTGAAGACTAACCCAAACTCGTTTGCTAGTCTTTTAGATGCCTCTGATTTTTTTGATAAGGTTTTGACCACCCTTTGTACTCCATGGAATAAGTCTAACTTTATGTCTTCCTTATTTCTGAATATAGTTTTGTATTGTGCTCTTACTTTACAGCAGTCATCAACGTATATAGTTTCTATTCTTTCGTTTTCTGCAATAATCCGCTCATTCAATTCCACGAGGACATCTTTTACTTCCTCGAATTTTGTGGAACGCGTGAGCTTCCAAATGACAATGTCTTTGTTTTCGTTCAAACCTATAAATAGATTTGAAAACTGGCCTACAATTTGGGAGTCTCCATTTCGAGCAACTCCAATGTGCTTACTTACTTTAAACGTGTGGTCAAATGAAAGCACTTTTGCTTTTGTCTTTCGTAATTCCTCATCATAGTACTTTTTTTCCCCTTCAAAATCCTCAAGGAATAATTTCATCAACAAATCGTTGCTAGGAAAAGAAAACATTGTGTCGCAATAAAAATCTTCTGTGAAAAAATCATGATCACAAGACTGTTTTTCGTGGTTGTTTGAGTTACTCATAAGATAACGCTCACCTCTTCGACAGAATTCTTTGTAATTCAGGTTAGCGATTCCCTCACTTATTTGAAGAAAGTTCACCCCTTGGACAACTTCACTTATTACAAGGTCCATTAATTCCTTTGAACAAGCAGCTTTGTAAAGCATCTTTATCGGGAAGCATCCATGAGAAATCACACCCGGAAGCTCTCTCATTATCTCTGGCGCGGCTGACAAATATTTGTGTTGTCCATGGCGACACTTATAAAATCTTTGAATGAGAAGGTAGTTTCCGTGTAGATCGTACACCAGACGTGGGTTTCGGGGACTTTTCTTTTCCGTTATATCTGTCCACTGCATTGCTTCTAGCACACTACCGTGTTCTGGGCATCGGATCGTTGATTTGAAATGATCCATTGGAGACCAAATAAATACCTTGGGCAGAAAAAAATCACTCTTGCCTTTGCCAAGCAATTTTGGGTGTATGACACTATCGAACCTGCTGGATGTCGGGTCGTTCTTGAATTCTTGTAGTAATTCTCTGATGTATGCTCCAATATGCGCCTCCAAAGTTATAGACAAAGAGGATGTTGCCAAAATGCTTAACACCGTAAAAAGCAACCACATATATCCTTTTGTTTCCATCGTTATTGATGAAGCCCAGTCAGTGTAAATATGACCACCAGTATCGTTCAGAAATAGAACTTCCTGATGTTAAAAAAAACAGCGTCACTATATATCATGCCATGCTACTTGAATGAGAACTTGATTAGATAAGACGTCGACTTAGTCTCATGCACTGTACTTCCGAGTGGTTTGAATTAACTTAAGTTAACAACTTTGCCTATTGTTTTTGCCTATTGTTTTTTTTTTTTTGTTAATCATTATTCGGATGAAGCGCATTTTCACACTCCTACCATGATTGTTCGTTTCCATTGATGATCATAGTAACAACCCCCAGTCCATTGCTTTAAAATAACACCAGCCTAGCAAAATAGTCATTATAAAAACAGCTATTCCGCTATAGCTATTTTAGTAAAAATAACAAATACTGATGCTTATTAATGACGTTCATATGGTTAATACATGTCGGATTTCAGGTCTTATCAATTACAATTCAAAAACAATGTTTAATAGCTTCATTGTCTAATAGAACTGTGATGTTTTCACACTTTTAATTAAAGCGCATGAGTCCTTTCCGATGTCAACGTGCAAAAATACGAATTGGCTTCCGTTAATCAAAAAATAATCACTGAGTCGATATCTTATATTTCACTTTGATAACTGGAGGCAGTGACAATACTACGGCCTGCTCGCATCGCGTTTCGTAATATTTGAAAATTGCAGTAAAAATATGTCACCGGCCTACTTCAGTAACAGTTATCGAATAGCTGTCAATAATTATAAACCAGCGGTACTTTAGCGGCAATGAAAACTGAGCTCTAATGATCCTTTCGGCTTGAGCTGGACACGCCTCTTATCAGCTCATGTATTGCATTTAACGTTAGCCAATAGATATCAAAACTTCTGATGACGTCAGAACTTCCGGTAACGTCATCTTGAGTGTAAAAATTACTTCATCATGCTGTTCTTTACACACAGCAGAAAGACCTTGTCAAAGTCTCTTCAGTTGCCAAAAATCTTTTCTAGATACACTTTTCCAAGATTTATAGCTAGGCTTGATCTCGTCCAAAAGTAAGTACGTTGAATCCAAAACACGTGATCTTCTTGTTAAATTGCTGATCGTTTTTCTCTTGATTTTTCAACAGACAAAAATTTTTCGCCACCGGATAAGATGGAAATCAACGTAGTAGAAAATGTAGAAGACTATACTGAAGCCGAAGAACCAAGTCAGGTAAGGCGATACTTGCGTAACAGTCCATTCAGTAATAGTCCAATAGCCTAATCGTCCATTCAGTTTTTAATCCAAAACAACGGAAAAAAGACGTGACTAGCTAAAAACTAGTGTGAGCTGCGTCGGTGTTTCTCTAATGAAACAGTAATGACAAAAAGGTAAATTATGCACCGTGAAAAGATGAAAAAACTTACTGACGTTTCGGACGCTAGTCCTTCGTTGAAGGACTAGCGTCCGAACTGTTAGTAAGTTTTTTCATCTTTTTCACGGTGTATAATTTACCTTTTTATCATTACACGAAAAAAAGAGGTTTTTAACTACCGCAGGCTGCTTATCGTGTACTTGAAAAGGAGTGTCAGATATGTAAAAACCGGCTCAAACAGCTTGATTTCTCAAGATCGCTAGTTGTAATAGTGTGCACTGTTTAAATAGTATATATGTGTATATATATATCCTACAAGCCCATTTAAACTAGTATTCAACATTTGAACTGTAATGGAATACTGAATATACGCCAAAACAAAATGCTTCGATTTTTCCAAGTGTGAACTTACATGCGGTCACGTGGCTATTCACTCAGGAAAGCTTGCATGATGAAAGCCAAGAGTTAAAATTCAAAACCTTAAAACTGAAAGGAGTGCTCCCTAGAAGAGCCTGCAGAACTGGAGTGAAGTAACAACAAAAACAACAACAAACCAGTAATCCCACAACGTAGTTTATCGGTTTACAATATGAATTCGGAAAAAATATACGCATGTTGTTTTTGTTTTGTCTGTTCTTCATTCCTTGTTTATAATAATGAAAGGTTTTGATCGTTATGAAGACTAGTACTAGAGTTACCCGCTAACTATAGCTAATTATAGCTAGACTTTACGAGAAAAATTTGTGGAAAAAGACAGGCCTAATGCTAGAGGAAGGACGCACGGTACTCGGGGCATGCAATGCCAACAAACAAAACAGAAAATCATGAGATATTAGCGGAAATTTTTGCTTCAAATCTATTTTCCTGTTTCTATGGCTCATTTATTGGTTCGTGATAATTTAAAAAAAGTATGTGTGTAATAACCGATAGAATGTGGCGGTTCGAGGTTTGCTTGCAGTATTTTTTTTTTCTCGTTCTGTGGCGCTGCTTCACGAGTGTTTTCTCTAGTCTCCCTTACCGTAAAATGATCATCTGCGTCGAGAGAAATATTATATGGAGTGATATATACTGTGTCAAATTGGATCTGAAAACTTATATGTGTATAAGCTAAAAACTTTGATCCTTTCGTACGTTAAACACACACAGTTATTTCATTGCGCATTTAAAAACTGTGGGATATATTTAATAATCAAAGTTATGCATATGGCTATATATATACTGGATTTGAGAAAAAATCATTTATTTTACAAGCATTCCCAGAATATAGTCTTTTCATTTTGGGCCAGAAAGTTGCGATAAGGTTTTCCCGCGTAAGTTTTAACCATGCGCAGTAGCTCAGTCCTACTAAAATTTTGAGTTAAAAGGTATTTATCACATGATTAAAAAAAAACACTCGTGCCAAGCGCCTGCGTTTTTCCTGAACAGCACGAGGAGATTTGCTGGTTTTTAAATAAGCTTGATAGAAACTCTTTTCCTTCACCTTTGTTTATGCGTTTCCACAGAATCCTCCTCCTCCTCCTCCTGGGTTATTTAGCAGCAATAACTCTCTTGTTTATAAAGACCAAAGGCAGAATAGGATCGTGCAAGCGACGAATTTCACCGTTAAGGTCTTAAACAAATTTGAAGACGAGAAGATGCAGGGATATATCTTCGAAATAAAACAGCATGCCCGTGGACGTGCAAAAACTTGGTAAGATGAAATCATGTTTCTTACAAAAATAGCTATTTGATGTTTCTAAATGTCTGCAGCTATCTTTTACATGTTTTGTACATATATGATGAGAAAGAAACAGATTTACCAATTCTACCATTTTCTAAGAATTTATTTATAAAAAAGATTCAAGAAAAGTGTTTTGATGATTAAGCTTATTTATTGTACTATATGTCGCTTTCGATCTGTCACCTTAACTTTATTGATTTTCTATTATAATAAGTATATTTATGTTGACACATCATCATTAATTACAAATTAGTGAAATGAAGTTAGAAATAGTGAATAGTCACATAACAATATAAATTTTATATTGTTATGTGACTATTCACTATTTCTAACTTCATTTCACTTATTTATAAACAGACTAAAATGGCTTTCCATTGTTACTTAAGCTTGCCAGCACTATTATTTGTAAATGGAAATTCATTTCTATGTCTGTTTAACATGTAATGAAACTTATTTATCTTAAAGTGCAAATAAAGTTGAAGTAGAAGTTGACCAAGGCCCCATGGTTTATACTGCAGTTCATAACAAACGTTTGAAAGAAAGAAGCTACTCAAATTGATTTATTGTTAACGAAAGAAGCTACTCAAATTGATTTATTGTTAAAATGCTTTAATTAATTTATTATATGGTTAATTAATAAGTGTAATAAGATGAAGCAATCTTTGATGTTTTTCAGGAGCTGTGCACTATCAATGCAGCAACTTTGCAACACACAAAGTGTTTTTGCTGCATTGCAGTATGCCTCAAAGAATTCCTTGTGGTATAAACTACCTAAGGATGCACCAGGGTCCAGCGATCTTGCTTTATACATGTTTAGTCTTGGGCAAGAGTTTGACAGCGTGAGAGATGAAAGTAACATTATCAAGAAGGTTGTCACCAAGGTAATAAATCAATATCAATCATGCGGAGCACATGATAGAGTGTGAGGATCTGGTTCTGTTCATTATTCATGAGGTTTTAGCCTGAAATTAATCTTACAATTATTATGTAATCATTCTTTTGATCCACTCCACTCATGTCAAGTACCATTATTATCCATTAATTTTTTGACAGGAAACTTGATTTTTAGCTGTCACTTTTTTTTTTTTTCAGTTTCCTTCTTGGCAGCAAATTGCAAGCAATGATGAGCAAAATCAACTACCAGTAACTGTATATGTGGTCAGTGAGGATACACAGATAGATGTGACAAATAAAAAAGTTTTAGAGGGTGCGGAGAGAATTGTTTGTTTAACAAACAATAAAGGTATGTTTTGTATCTTGCTTAATTATGATTACGCAAACCATCATATTGCAGTGCTTACCATAATTCTGCAACCTACTGAGTATAGACTACTGAATGACACTAAGCATTTTGGCTTCCGTCGATCAAACCATACGACAAGCTGAGTTGATTGTGATCCCAAGAGATTGAAAAGACTCGGTAAATAAATTCCTGCAATTCTACAGCCATTTTTACATGCGAATAGTAGAATGCTAATAGCTTTTTTTTTCTTATTGGGATGGAACCTTGAAGATCTAGTATAGAAATATAGTTAAATATTCTTGTAAAAAGCCATTTTATCAGCATTTTATATCTTGATTATATGTTTACGCTAATCAAAATACGTTTTCTAATTCTAATTAATTGTGGCAACGGTTGTCACTGATTGGATGAGCGAGAATTTCTTATTGTTTTATTTCTCTTATTGTTCATTTGAATCATGCAAATGTTTGTCGAACCACGCTATAGAATATAACGTTGACCCTCATGATTGTCCAAGCGCGTTATAGATTGTCAATGATTATGCTAATAGCACTAATGAATTTTCACTTTTGGGTAAATGATTGTCCATAAATGCAATTGTCTGTCATTTGGTGTTATTGAAGTTGAATTTCGCACACAAGAAAAYACATTCCGCGCATATGAATGTACAAACGCGCTATTGATTGTCCATTGATGCCTATGAATGTACACGCATATTCAATTGTCGTTATTGAAAGTTGATCCGCACTAATGATGTTACTTGTGGTGTTGATGAAAGTACATTACACGTTATTGATACAACTATTGGCACAAATGAATGTACATTTTCTGTTAATGAACGGCAAAAGGTGTAATAGAAATTATCACACACAAATTGCATTGCATTTCTTTGTTCCTTTTCATTTTGTATGTCCTTTGCAAGTCGGTATTATGTGTCCTACATTTTATTTTAAATGGTATTAAAAAGAATCATTGCTTAGGTTTTACGTTACACTCATTATACCCATGAACAATAAATAGCACTAACTAGTACTAATTCAGAAACATTCATTTGTTTTCTATTGTTTATTTATTACTAATTATCACTAAAAGTTAGTATTTGTACAGGTTTATTGTGAGCACTCTAATTATAAAAATTGTGATGATTCTCAGTTTATGTTATTGAACTAACTTTGGTTAAATTTCTCCCCAGATGAGATCCCGACACAAGATATCAGGCATCACGTGGAAAGTGTTGTGCAAGGTATTTCATCAGAACGAAAGATTCTGACACTCCATTACTATTGCTTAATATTGAACTAACTTTTTTGGTTGGTTAAATTTCTCCTCAGATGAGATTCCTACACCCACACAAGATATCACACATGTGGAAAGGGTTGTGCAAGGTATTTCATCAGAACGAAAGATTCCGACACTCTATTTAAATTTAATATGTATACAATAGTATTGCTTATTATTGAACTAACTTTTTTGGTTGGTTAAATTTCTCCTCAGATGAGATTCCTACACCCACACAAGATATCACACATGTGGAAAGTGTTGTGCAAGGTATTTCATCAGAACGAAAGATTCCGACACTCTATTTAAATTTAATATGTATACAATAGCATTGCTGATATTTATCTATCTTTTCTTTGTTTTTTTGTTGAATTTCTCCTCAGATGAGATTCCACCTCATATCCATAATGTGGAAGCAACAATCCACTTCATCCCTGCATCAAAAGAAGGTGCAGCAGAAGGTATAGGTTTCTAATAGTAATTTTCAATTCTTAAAGAGCATACTGAAACAAATGAAGTTAACTTATCACTCAGTTATTATATTATAGATGTGCGTACACCTGCTTGCAATAACATTGTCATAGGATGATATTTCCTTTTTGTAGTTTAGTAGGAAAGGAATAAATCTAATGACAAAAAGAATATTACTGAAGCTGAACTCCGTCTTTTATCTTTTAATTTATTCCTTTCTCACTAAACTACAAATGTCCTATTTTTATATGAAAAAACGTTCTTGCAAGTAGGCATATATATAGAGGATATTACACGGGCGCGCAGAGATACCAATTTTATCTTCAAGTGAGATATCTAAATTGAACACGAGAAGATAAAATTCGTATCTGCAAGTGGCCATGTAATGTTCTGTTTATCATATAGATATCGATGAAACTTAAATAAAACAAAAGCTCAAAAATTCTTTATTATAATAGCAAGCAGATTCAACAGTGATATCTTGACGTGTGAAAGATATGGTATCTTCCACTGGTGAAAGATATCAAGTTTTCTACACCTAGAGAGAACCTGGTATTTCATCCATATCTATAATTATAATAAATAAAATTAAGGCATATTAGAAATTACGGGATATGATCTTAATCTTCTTTTAATCCACTTGCATTGTGTGTAAAACTTAAATGTCCATTGATTCTTATTGGCCAAACAACCTTTTTTGACTTACATTGTTATTCATGTGTTATTACTGATGTAGGATCAAGGCATGGGAAACGGTGCAGATCAGGATCATCAAAGCTTTTTGACAAGATTCATCCTGGCATTTTGAAAGGTAAAGACTAAATTCTGATTACAGCTATTACCATCAGAATTATTTTATTCTCAGCTGATCAAGAAGTTTTAATTTCAATAAAATTTGCCAAAAAATCTTACTCAATTTTTTGCTGTCTTTTTTGATGATGTGGTGTGATTTGGTTTTGATCTAAAATTTAAATTAAATTTTTATCCATAAAGATAGTTGACACAGTCATCATATATGATCAAATTTAAAGAAACAATAGACCGAATTGGCTGGGGCATCATGTGTTCCCAATTCAGCTCCTATAGGGGATACACCCCAAACAAAGAAACTCAGTCTCATGGGAACTGAATCGGGAAAACAATATGCCCAAGCTGATTCAGTCTGTTAGAGCGCATGCAGTAAAACCATGAAATAAAAACAAAGTTGATACCTGACAAATAGTAGCTATTTAGTGATGAATAGTTGCTATCACTCAACCAGAACATTTATTAAACAAAGGGCACAAAATGATGTCTTGTGTATTTGTCTTTGTATGATGAATGTTCTGGTTGAGTAATAGCAACTATTAGTCACTAAATAGATACTATTAGTTAGTATTTAGTTTGATTTTATTTCATGGTTTCACTGCATGCGCTGTAATCTTGGTAATACTGTACTGTATTGTTAAAAAGTGTATTATACTGCTAAAATACACTAATTGTAACCGGCGGCAAGGCGCTCAAATCACTAAACAGATTGCAAGTGTGTTGGCAAAAGAGTTTATTCACAACTCAGCTTAGTACATCACAAATCAGTACAAAACGAGAACGAGATTACAGCTCTCTGTCTTCTAACGACGCGAGTTCTTTGTCTTGACTCTGTGGTTCGACGCTCTTCCAAGTTCTCTTGCTATGTATACTGACTAAATTTACTTAAAAAGCTCTATTTATTCCACACTTGTTCCGTAAAACGTGGCTTATGCTAACATTACTCATGTAATCCCAGGAAATTAATTAACTACTTGTTTGCAGATTTCACTTGATATAGAGGAAGAACATTCCTTAGTATCCGAAATTATAATTAAACTAATTAAAACTAGGTTAAAGTCCCATTTACTATTGTTCAAAATAACGTTCTTTTGACTCTGTCACATATTCTAATGTCAGTTATAACTAGGCAGAATGATGCACAGTTATTAAACTCTTCCATTTTCCTTATTTTCGGTGTCCCTCTAAATTGGTGATGTCATTTTGCTACCAAAAATGAAATCAGTAAAACTTTATTGAAAAAAGTTTCAATTGGCGAGTAACTATTCACATCATGTATGGTTATAATTTGAAGTCAGTCAGACATTTTGTGTAAACATTCCGCAATATCTTTTGGCTAGCATTTGAAAACCCAGTATAAACTCGGAGCTTTTTTAAAAATTTAGCTAGGGGGGGAGAGGGGCGAGGCATATATAATTTGTCCTCAATCTTTGGTTTTTGACTGAATGAATTACTATAATCTTTTTGTATTGCTTTTTATTACAGATAAACGTGTGCGCAAGAAGACAAAGAACAAGGATTTTTAAAAACTAACTACATTTTATTTTATTTTATTTGTTTGTAAAATTTTATTTCTTAAGCTTGGTATGGTTAATATATTGTCTTTCATTTAAACAAATGGCTTTCATATTTATCAGTAATCGCTGTTACTATTGATTTATTTAGTATAACCCCTTTCAGGAATGAGGAAGCTCTTTTAAGATATATATAGCAAATGGCTAATTTGCTCCCTTATAGGAATATTGCAAGAGTTATTGTTATTAGCATTTTTAGCATAAGGAAAAAAATGAAAGATGTATGATTAGGTTTAATTGATGACAAATATGTTTCCAGTACATTTAAGTCCTAATTTTAAATTGTAATATTAAGTCATCCCAAAAACCCTGTACACTACAATTTGGCTGGTTATTTATAGTGTTTATTATAATATGCATGCAAACAAACAAAAGGACTCCAAACGTTTAGCGTCTAGTACCGTAGTCTATTTGGGTAATTTATAGTGCCCATGTTTATTGGAATTACTCTAGTTTTATATTTCAGCAATAGGCCATGCTCATGATACTTATTAAAAAAATTAGTATTAAATGATACAAAATAAATTTATAAGTTATTCAGAAATAAAATGTTAAAAGTTTGTTAAAAGTTGCATTAAACATTGAAAGGATCAGTAAGTTTTTATGGTTATTTAATGGCATTTTTAATAAGTGCCTTATTAGTAGTAATGAAATATAGTGCATGATAATTTAATTTTATTAGAGTAATAATGATGCTATAAGTATTCTAATTAGAAACAATAAAATGCTTCAAATTTCATTGTCAAATGAGAATTATGTCCAAATGTATTGAAATAGAACAAAGGCAGTACAGTATCCTGGAAAGAGGGTAATGAGGAATTTGCTTTTCATAACAAAATCACCAACAATGGAAATGGAATTGCGATTTGAGCAAAATGTAGGGTGGGATTATGGGATTTGAACTTAGACTTTGATGGGTACAATTTTGCCTGGGAAATGGGATAAGAAGCCCCTTCAGAATGCTCTGAGGGGTTAGATTGGAGACTATTATGGGGAAAAAGAGGGTCAATTGGAAAATACAATAGACCAGTATACAAAAGGGATAAGTAGGAAGCTTAATATGGCCCCCCTTCCCCTGTCTCCACAGTCCCTGTAGTTTTTTACAGCTTGCTATTGAGCAATCACGAAGTTGGTTAAATATTGTAATGGTAGTTGCAGTACCCTGTTTTGGAAAATGGGAAAAGCAGGGTTTGCAATTTCTGTATAAAATTTGATTTCAGYCCAAAAAGGATAGTTACCCGTAAAGGATATGGCTTCCAAATTAATGTTATTCAAGACATGGTTTTCTTTTTATTTGTAGGGCTTTATATAATAATTATATTACTCAGCTGATCATGAATTCAAGGGATATTATTTCATGTCTATAGATACAACCTTAGAATTAGTAATTCCTCATGAGGGTAACTCCCATATATCGAGGAGTGTGATGAGCGTCATATCTTTTAGGGGTTAAAATTGCAAGTTCTCCCTTGTAGGGGTTAGAATGGAAAGCTGCAGGTTTTAATCATTTGTGGTATCTTTTACAGTATGCAACTGATGGTTTCAAGARGTAAACAAGAGAAAGCATTTGATTTTTTCATTGCTTTCAACGCAACACTTCTTGTTTTAAATGGTTTAAATTGTGTTTTAAAAATTTGGTTTCTTTTAGGGGAAAAAAATGAGCCACAACCAAGCCCAAATTTTAAAAA